AGCACAAAATGAGAATTGCCATTTCCTCCGGGTGAATTTCATGTGAGAAGAGCACATTCGTAAACCTCGCATAAATTCTTGTGAAACACTTCAGTAGCAGCATTATATTGTAAATTGTGTTTCATTTCAGACGTTAAAAAAACCTGAAAAATCTATTTGGGTGAGGGGGACTAGAAGTCACTTTCCGGGGGGGGGGGGGGGCAAGTCACTTTCTTAAGTCAATTTTCTCCAGATACATGGCTCTCAAAAAATCTCATTGTACCATTTAACAGAAATGCGTGTTTCCTAGTTGGTCCAAGGTCATTTTTTCGTTACTTTATATAGAAATTCGTTACTTTATATAGACTTTCAAAATACCGGGGGGGGGGGGGGGGGGGGGTCCGAACACTCATTACACTGTAACTTTTTTTGTAACCTTAATGATTCTCATCCTAGATATTGCGGGTATATCTTTTACACACTGTTTTAATATACACCAAATAAAGTGACCTTTTGTATGTTATTTATTCCTCAAAAATCTGCTTACGCACGATTAGTGGGTTTGACTTCACCATACGAAATTAATGGTTACAATTTGCGCATACAGTACGAGTGCAAACAATCAATGTAATATTTCAAAGAAAACACAATAACAAAAAAAATATCAATAATAATATTAAGAGACTGGAAAGATTGAAAAAGATACGACAAAGACTGTGGAATCATCAGTGTTCGTGGGGGTCCAATGTTCGTGGATTTCGTGGGTCACCCTTATCCCCGAATTTACATCCTCACCAGGCGAGGACCCAGGAATTTTTTCCGGGGGGGGGGGGGGAGGTCCACCCCAGTCCAAAAAAATTTCAAACCCAAAATTTCTTGACAAGCAAAAAAAAAAAAAGGCATTTCCCAAACGTGAAAAACACCTATTTCGTGGTGGTGATGGGGGGATCCACGTTTTCCGGGGGGGGGGTCCAAAGCCATTTTTTATTTGCTTCAGTATATATTTTAAATAACTCTGCAAATTCGGGGGGGGGGGCGGACCCCCTCCCCCATCTAGATCCGCGCATGCCCACGAACAATTATTTTGCCAACATATTTGAATCTTCTGTATATATACGAGTTACCTAGTGAGTACAGAATTACGTCCCCACGAACCAACAACATATTGCTTGCCCATTGAATGACCCCCCACGAATTAAAATGATTCCACAGTATTCTTTTTCTTCTTATTTTCAACGTAACACGAACGATATAAAAATATGATAGAGTGTATAAAGTGCAGGCTTCACGTACTTCAATCAAAGAGTTACATTAATGTATTTCCTTATTATGAAACTCAGAATATCATCACACGCTTGCGGTGTCCGCGGTGAATTTATGTTGTTGCACCAGTTTTTTGGCTGAAACTCTTGTCACAGATGGATATGGTGAAAACCCACACCAAATACTTTTATAAAATTAACTCCGTAATTTTAGCACTTGTCAGTATCGTCTGACATTCTTAGGACACGAAAACTATTAGTAAACACGTTGGTTTCTTTTATTTTGAGTTCCTAGAACACTAGTTGCACAGACCTTTCACAACCCATGTAGGCGAAACTTTCTAACGTGGGCAACGTGGAATGTAGATGTACCTGGAACGTCCCAGCGCACGTGTTGATTTTTGAAATTGTCTTTGGCCATGCAGATACAAAATTTTTAACGATCATTTGAATTTTAATTAGGTTAACTGGTGCGCGTGTTTAGTTTTACGTTTATTAATTGATTTTTTTTGTGTGAGATCAACATGATCTCGTACGATATTATTTATAAATAGTATTAATACTGACCACGCAAATTAAGAAACGTTGCACTGAAAGCCTTTGTCATCGAAGAGTATGTCCTCAGCTAACATTTCTGTAAAGAAAGTTCTTTATATATATACGCAATTAAAGAATCTGAAAACAGTGTAAAGATCGTTAAATTGGTATTAACGAGAAGTCAGTGTGCGACTGAATTGTAAGCTACTCTACAGCAATAGATAATTAAATAGCTTGAAAATTTCTTCTAACTGTAACACTTATTCATAATGCAAGTCATTTATCTAAAATTGTTTATATCAAATTTAAGTACACTCTATTTTTATGAAATTCTAAGAGAAATATATCGAAAATAGTAAAATAGTAAAATGAAAGAATGAAGTGCATTTGATTTGAATTCGGCAGGAATCTTGGCGCACTTGAAAATTTGTGATCGTTGATCCGCAATCTAATTAGAATTAGATGTTCCGAATCCGCTATCGCTTCTCAGACGGTAGCGGATTCGGAACATCTAATTTCAATTAGATTGGTTGATCCGCCACATTTGACTTTTTTTTTGCTTTATCGGGATCCTGTGATAAAGGAAATGGACATATTTTCCAGATATTGAAATTTGACTTGCTAAAATATGCTTTGAGATATGGCTAGTTGAGTCATTTGGTAAAAAAATGTACGACTGTTACATTATTTTTTACTTTTTATACCTCGTCATGAATATGGCCGGGGCATATAGTGTTTGTCATGTCCGTCCCTCATCCCTTCTGTCACATTTTGCGTTTGACCCTGTTTCAAAGATACCATGCAAGATATTTTTATCAAACTTCATATGCTGATATATATTGATTAGAGCTATTCAACTGCATCAACATTTTTTACCCTGACATTTCCTTTGACCCTGACCTCACTTTTCAAACAAATGCATGTAGCTCAGTTTCAAAGAAACTATTCAAGATATTTTTATCAAACTTCATATGCTGATATAAATTGAGATCTATTGAACTGCATTAACATTTTTTGCCGCTGATCTTTCCTTTAACCTTGACCTTTCTAAAAATTGTGTTTAGCTCTGTTCAGAGAAACTATTCAAGATATTTTTACCAAATCTTATATGGTGATACATATTGATGAAAGCTATTCAACTGCATCAACATTTTTTGACCTTGCCTTTCCTTTGACCCTGACCTCATTTTTTTTTTTTTAAATGTGTTTAGCTCAGTTTCAAATAAACTATTCTATACTTTTATCAAACCTCACATGTTTGTTCATATTGATGAAATCTATTCAACTGCATCAACATTTTTTAACTTGACCTTGACCTAACTTTTCAAAAATTTGTGATTAGCTCAGTTTCAAAGAAACTATTCATATTTTGTTTATACATACTGACGAGAGCTATTCAACTGCATCAACATTTTTTTACCTTGACCTTTCCTTTGACCTTGACCTCACTTTTCTCAATTTTGTGTTTAGTTCAGTTCTAAAAAAAATCAAGATATTTTTATTAAACTTCATATGCTGATACATTTTCATGAGTGCTATTGACCTACATTTTTTTCACATTGACCTTCCCTTGGCATCACTTTTCTTATATTTGCAGTTAGCTCAGTTTCAAAGAAACTATTCAAGATATTTTTATGTATGCTTACGCACTGATACATAATTTGGTGAGAATTTTATCAAATGTGTCCATTTTTTTTTACCTCGACCTTTGAATTTACTATTTATTGTGTCTAAAACTCAGCTTTAAACAGTTTCATTAAATTCATACACTGATATAATTTTCATGTTGCATTACTAATGAACCCTGGTCGGTGCATTCATTCCTAATTTAAAGTTAAATTTGTTATTTCTGGGTCAACTCTTCACGGTTTAAAATTGTTTAAGTGCATTTTAACTAAGCGAAAACAGTAAACATTTCTTAAATATGGAGAGAATTCGACGACAAAGAAACTATAAAAAAGATGACCCCACCCCAAATCATTAATTGTTATTTTAAGGAAACTCTAAACACTAATGAAAAATGCTTTTTGGACTTTGAGAAAAATATATCATATAAAGGTGCACATGTTCGGTGTATCTAGTTAATTTTCAACATAGAGTACCTGCCTTATTTCTGCAGAAAAAATGTACAAAGACGATGAACTATTTGTGAACAGAAATCACTGTTGTGTACTTGCATCGGGAAAATTAATGGAAATAATGTATTCAATTACTTAATCTTGGTCTAACATAACATTACGAATACTTTAATTCATAAGAAATTGTATCATTACCTGTAGATTCCCATTTATTCTATTTTCATTCTAAGGGCAGATCACTCTTACTCAATAAAACTACCGTACAAATATAACTCTTTAGTGTGCAGTGTTTAGAGCTTCCTTAATACCCAAATATAGTTTGTTACGGCGATTGCACGGTTTATTCCCACCTAGCCAAAATTCTGAATTTCTTATTCCCATCCAGCCAAAATTGTGATTTTCACACCTGAGTGGTCACTTGTGTATAGTCTGTTTTAGATTGATTACCTGTAATTTTCACCTGAGATGTATATATCTATTTATTTACTAATATATATTATTGGAAATAAATTTAAAAAATAATAATAATAAAAAGAAAAATATGTAAATAAATAAATAAATAAATAAATAAATAAATTAATTAATAAAAATATATATAGAAATATTTAGGAAATAATTAATTTTGTTATTCATCAATCATTGATTATATTTTGTATAAAGTTTTTGCAGAAAATAATTATTGCTAATTAGTAAGTAATCAAACCAGAGACTAAAATAACATTTAGAGATTGAATAAACAACAGTCCCCTGTGATGTTTTCCTAAGTTCTGTATCTATTTTGTTTAACAGATAATTGATGTAATTTATGTATCCAGAAGGAATATAAGGCTAGAGTTTTTTTATTTTATGTTTAACGGGAAGCGCCGACCCAATTTTTTCAAAATACCGAAAAAAAATAAAAGAGGTCCATCTCACTTTTATTTTTAAAATACCCGCCGACTGTGTCATATATTGACGGTTTGAAATAAAATCGGGTTTGTTGTACACCATAATTTTAATAAATCATGTAAACGTTTGACAAAGCTTACGTTAATCAAATTCTTGTACGAGCGTCTTGCTGATTATGATATCGTAACCAGTTTAAAGAACTAGTTTATCGCACTTTTCGCGGGTTCTATCAACAGATCAACAAGCAAAAATGCCATTTCAAGACATTTATAGATAAAAATGACGAGATAGTAATATTAAATCCATTGACGATAAAGAGAAAAAAAGATTCTGAGATCGGAATGAAGGCATCAACAACCTAAATACACTAGATGCACACTGAACCATCTTGTGTCTAAAGAGTTGGGGGTAAGTTTTTTGACGTCTTAATAAACTTTCTGTTAAAATTGTTCGATGGTTAACATTTTTTGATACGTTTTTTGTTTCTTTTAAAGATGTTTACATTGTATATTTAATTTGATCACATAACAAATTGAGGTAAAATTCGCGGTAAAATTTAGTTTTACAATGAATTATGTTTAACTATATCAGGGACATAAAATTACGATTAAAATATTTTAGATACAAGTCCATGTCTGCTTGGTTGAATTAAATGAGGTCAGGATTCCAACAAAATTACGATTGGAAAAGAATATTTAAAACTAACACTGACAAGTGACAGCTAATTGGAATTGCACACATTATCCTGTGGAAAGGTAGAGATAGAAAGAATTAAGTCAACAAATTGTCCAATTTAATATTTTTAATGCAAATTGAACAAAGACCAAAATTATTATATTTATAATATAAGAAATGTGTTATTATCAAAAACTCTTAAAAAATGTTTTGTATCTTCATTTAGAAAAGAAAATAATCTCATGTAAATACTGTTTTTTATCTTCGACTTTCTAACTACTACATGTATTTGGTAATATTAATAATGTATCTTAAAGGAACAATGCATTTTTTGTGCAGTTTGATTTCTTGGTGGAGACCCAACCATTTGTGAAGAGTTCAGAAGACTTCCAAGATGACTGCTGTTTTTCGTGAAATAATTTCAGCTGACAAATTTCCATTCTGAACCTCAAGAATGTGTTAGTCCTATACTAGGAATGCATTGTCAAGTTAGCTATCAACCCCATATCTTTCTCCAAACTTCTGTTTAATCATAATATATGTAGCTTAAAACATTTTTTATCATTACTTTTATAAATTTTATACTGTATGAGATGACCAAACGAAGACATCTATAAATTTTTAAGCAGTGTGGATTTTTCTGTATCCAACATTATTGTTGCTATATAATAATTTAAACTGTAAATTTTATTGTTTTGCTTTCATACTAGAATTTACAAATGTAATTAACCACAGTAGGATGACACATGCATATAGTTAGGAGTTTTATCTTTTTATCCATATTTGAAATCCAAATAAATGATAAACAAAATTTTATTGTGTTTTCTTTCATTTTTCAACATTCTATAAAAAAAAAAATTCATACCATTTTTGGGTTTTATTTTTTATATGGTCTCGACTCGACAAATTTTGAACTTTTTATTTTTATTTTATTTCGTCCCCTCGACCCGACTTTTTCTTAAAAATTCCCGTTAAACAGAAAATAAAAAAACTCTGGCCTAATTGATATTAAATTAGTCTGAAATCCTAGGATAAAAGCAATTATTGTTCATTAAATGCTCTTTCCTTACTTATTCTAAAGAAAAAAAGATCCTCTGTATCTTTTTGTTAAGTATGGCGAACGTGCAAGTACGGGTGGATTTTCTGGAGAATGGAAGGGGAGGTTTCTTCCTTCTTCATGGTGGTTTCAAGTACTCCATCAGAACAAGATACAATGACAGAATCTACTGGAGATGTATTGACAGACAGTGTCCAGCTTCATTAACAACATCTGAAAACATCGTGGTGAAGTTTGGCAGACCACACAACCATGAGGACAACTATATTGGACTAGCAGCCGAATCCTTCATCGGTGGTGTGAAGAAGAGGTGCAGAGAAGAGGCAACACCAATCCCCACCATCTATGATGAAGAGTTAGGAGGATTGCGCAACACCGAATGTGATGACTCAGTGGTGGATATGATCAGGAACATTCCAACATTCCAGGCCTGTAAGTCATCTTTGTATAGGAACCGGGCTAAGACAACTCCAAAGCTGCCTACTTCACAGGAGGAGATCAACCTCAACGGACCATGGACATGCACTTCAGCTGGAGAAAGGTTCCTCCTCTGTGATGACACTGATGCCCAAGGAAACCGTATCCTGATATTTTCTACCGACTCCAATATACAACACTTGTGTGCAGCAGACACAGTTTTCAGTGATGGAACATTTTATTCGTGCACCAGATTCTTCACCCAACTGTACACACTGCATGCCAATGTGAACGGAACTATGTTTCCCCCCGTATTTGGACTTCTACCCAACAAGAGTGAGGGCACTTACAATCGTTTCCTAGTGCTTCTGAAGGATGCAGTTAGTGACCGACAGTCTGTGTTAACTCCTGAACATTGGTTACTGGACTTCGAAATCGCCGCACGGAATGCAGTTCATGGAAACTTCCCTAGGACATCTATCAAGGGGTGTTTTTTTCACTACACCCAGTGTATATGGAGGAAAGTCCAGTCATCTGGATTAACCACACAATTCCGGGAGGATGAAGATTTCCATCGTCTGGTAAGAAGAGCTGCTGTTCTTCCTTTAGTTCCTGAGCATCAAGTGGAAAATGTATGGTTTGAGGCGCTAGAGGACAATGACAATGATAACCAAGATGTCTTGCGCTTCAAAGACTATGTTACAGAGACTTGGGTCGAAGGCCATCTGATGACCTGGAACCATTTTGACAATGAAGGGCCAAGGACAACAAATGCAGTGGAAGGATGGCATCATAAATTCAACAGGATGTGTCGACGCCCCCATCCAAATTTGTTCATGTTTGTTCAGTTGATTCAGAAGGAACAGGCAGCCAATGAAGCCAAGATGATTCAGCTAGCTGCTGGTGGTGTTGTCCGTCCCAAGAAAAGAAAATATCGACAATTAGACCGTCGCATTCAGGACTTAAAGGAAAGACTACGCCAAGGACATATCCGATTAATGGACTATGCAGATGCTGCATCCCATCTACTGCATTTGGAGTGATGTGTCTTTGGGTTCACATAAAATGTGTTTTGACTGTATGGTACTCTACATGTTAATTTATGTCATTGCGCCGTAAAAGTATGATTTACTTGAATGTTATGATGGTGACTGTTATGATGCTTTTATGTATTGGATATGTATTGGATATGAACATTATTTATCAGAATGATTATATTTATGTAAGAATGGCTTCTTTTGCATTCCTGTCAATGTAACTAATCATCTTACAACAGAGTTAAGATGTCAAACATATAATTAAAAAAAACCCATTTATTTCACATCAATTCAAAATATTTTAAAAAATAAATAAATAAATAATTTTAAATCATTCATAATACTGGTCATTCTAAAACAGACTATATGTTACCTGTAATTAATTTCTTTTGTTCTCTCCCTCTCCTTACCTGTACACCATTCCCACCTAGCCAAAACCAGTCACCTGTATAAATTTCAGAATTTTGGCTAAGTGGGAAGACACCGATTGCACAGTGGTGTATGTTATCTGTGCAAGACGGTGAGAAATCTTTTAAAGTGATTCGATCCTCGTACGGAGCATTTTTTAGTCATTTATCAGTTTGATTTTGATTGTGTTGTATTGAGATTGAAAGTATCCCCCCCCCCCCCCCCCCACTGAAACTTAAATACATTTTCATTTAACTATACCCATATGCATTACCTTTTAGTTGCTTAATAATTATGTGAAGTGGAAAGTGCTATGATATCGTGACTATTGAAATAATTAGACTTAAAGATATCCGCTCCTCAGCCAGGAAGGATAACTCTGAAATTTAATTTAAAAAGTCTCAAATTGAAGCTTGAAACTGATTTTTTTTTTCTTGCAACAACTCACAGTTTTATGCATCTCAGTGGATTCAAGGTTCTTGAAGTCTTAGTAACGGTCTTGTAAAAAGTTGACATTTGTGCCCCATAAAAGTATAAAAATAAATACATTTTTAGAGAAATCGAATTTTCTTTAATCTGGCCTTAGATACCAATGTTAATTAGCATGATATGCATTTAGAAGTGATCTATGATGTTTTGCGATGATAGTAAATTTAAAGCTTTTAACAGAATATATTATATAGCAATTGAAGTAAAAAGAAAAACTAAAGAACCATATAGGTATTTTTAAACAAGAGGCCCAAGGGCCTTAATGGCCACCTGAGTACAATACAACAATATAGAGGATCCATAAACTGATAAATGAAGCTTTGTTGCCCAAAAGCAAGAAAAATAGTATGATAAGCATCAACAAAATAATTGGTCTAGTATCTACCTGCCCCCCCCCCCCTCCCATTTATCACTATTACCATGCAGACTATTAACAAAATGTCTATTTTTTAACCCCATATCATTACTTCTCATATTGGCCTCTCTTGGCCTTTGAAGAACATTTAAAAAGATAAGTTATTTTTGTTTCATTTTTATTCATCTATCATTTCCGAGTCATTAAAACTATGAAAGTACTTTTTGTATTATACAATAAATATTCTTGCATAATTCTCTTATTCTATTAAGCTTTCAAATACATTATTTACATTGATTAATTATCAAAGGTGAATGGCAAAGGGGAATAACTTTGCTCAGCAGAATACAAGTTAATAGAGCCCTGGCCAGGGCCAGAACACTTGACTAAATGGTCCAGGTGTTCAAAATTCTAAGCAATTCTTAGATATTGCATATATAAGGGATATGCAATATCCCTTGCATATTAAAACTTTTACTCTGTTTGTCTCGAACATCCCCAGAAGCATAGAAGATTTTCAAAGAAATGCATTTTCACTAAATAAATAAAGCCCAATCCTTGCACCAGAACATCTGACCCATTGGCCATGAACTCACAATTGTGGAAGAAGCACCCTTGCTCTTCATAACTATACACTTGTTTCTTTACTTTATAACCAGTAGAAGAAAAAAACATTTTGAAAAATATTATGCATTTTTACTATATAATCAATAGAGCCCCCCCCCCCCTCTCTCCAGAACCCCTGACCCAGGGGCCATGAATTTCACGATTTTGGAAGAGGCATTCTTCCTTATCATAGCCATGCACTGAAGATTTTGAAAGAATTTGTGCCTTTTCCCTATATAATAAATACAGCCCCGCCCAAACACCAGAACCCCTGACCCAGGGGCCATGAAATTCATAATTTCTGAGGAGGCAACCATGCTCATCATAACTATGTACTTTGTTTATTTAATATCCAGGAGCAGAGAAGAAGATTTTCAAAGAATTAATGCATTTTCACAATATAATTAATACATGTAGAACCCCGCCCTAACACCAGAACCCCTGACCCTGGGGCCATGAAATTTACAATTTTGAAAGAGGCACTCTTGCTCATTACATTTATGTACTAAGTTAGTTTATTTAATACCCAGGAGCAGAGAAGAAGATTTTCAAAGAATTAATGTATTTTCACTATATAATCAATAGAGCCCCACCCTAGCACCAGAACCCTGCCCCTGAGGCCATTAATTTCAAAATTCAAAATAGAGGGCTCAATGCAAATTACAATCATGCCACAGTTTGATTGCTTGATGTATAGGAGTAAGGAAGATGATTTTTAAAGATTGCATTAATTTTGGCGGTTTTAGCCCCACCACTCAGGCCCCAGGGGAACAGGGACCATGAAATGCAATTTTCTCCAGATGCCTGGATACCTGTAGTTTTTTAATTCTTAAATATATTTGTTGATCAATTTTTAATAGGAAAATGCATAGCTGGAGTTTTTATTCGCATTTCATAAAAATTATTTTAGATTTGATAATGTTCCCTATATAATATGCGTAATTTTAATGATGAACTTTGAAGAATTATCGTGGATAAATAAACATCGAGAATTAAGAGACATTTTCAATTACTCAACTCCCAATTTTCAGAACCTGAGGGTCGGACTACCTTAAATGTTACGATTTTTTGACAATCATTTTCAATGTTTCGTAAATTGTGTCGTCAGCCGACGAAATTAAATCACCTGCTTGACTGTACATTAAAACTATGAATGATTCGTACACGTCATTCCGGAATACTAGTAGTAATAGTACATGCCATATACGTCCATCTTCTTTGCTTTTTTAGTAAAAAAAAAAAGTGAAAGTTAAAAGTTGTAAGGAGCTTTGTATTTGCTTTGCCTATACAACTTATGAAATTTGTATTTAGCACTTTAACATTTAGAGCTTTGGTCTATTGTGGTGAATCAAAGACTTATTTATTAAAAATCCACCAAAAATCTGCGTAGTTTCTGCAAAAATAACTTTATGATCACTTCTGACTATTGATAAATGCGTACATTAAAGAAAGATGGACATTTTGTGAGGCCAATATTCGATAACCACAAAAAAGGTCTAGAAGATTAATATCTGTTGACCTCCTATTTCGTCTTCTAGATTTTAAAATTTTCCTTGTGTCATTAGACTGTAAAAAAAAAAATCCGATAAAGATTTGTAATATTTCAGGGCCGTCGGCAAGTTTTTGAAAAGGGGGTGTGAGGGGAATATCCTCTCCTCAAAGTCAGGATTTAAAAAAAAAAGTACCTTTTTGGTAGGTTCTGGTGCGTTCTTGAAGTACTTTCATCACATATTAAATTAACAAAAGAAAACAGCATTATTTCAAACAGATAAATAAAGACTTTATTTTGTTTCAAACTGTTCTATTTTTTAAGCCCCCCCCCCCTTTAGGATACCCGGCGGTCGCGCTTAACTTATCTTTTCTTCAACTGCATGCAGTTTCAAGATAGAATAGTAATTAAAAAATATTAAACGATTTTTTATTTCCTATTTTCCTCCCTCTGACAATCTGGAATCTATTTCCTCGAACTGCACGACCGCGCCGTCTCCCGCTCAATTGACATTTTCTTTCCCGGGCGTTCGAATTGATTTTTTAAGGAACTCTTCGTATGAGACAATGTGTACTACCCATCCGGGTGATCATTAAGCTTATTGCAAAATACAACACAAAGGCAGAGATATAGGCCAGGAATGTATGTGTACCATTGCCGCACTTGAGAGAACCCAGGCTGATAACGTCTGTTTCACGTTTTATGTATCGATTTCCGTTAGGTCAATGCTTCTGATTCAGAAAATTTTTGATCGATATTTTTTCTCTGTATGTAAACGAATGTCAACTTTTGTTTTATAACCTTAATTATATACATTGTCAGAAGTCCGTTGACCGTTTTGCTCACTGTTAAGATATCACAATGATTGAGCAGAATTAATGTTCAATATTTCTTTGTTTTGTAATCATACTTGAGAAAGACCTTAGCCAGACAGGGTAACAGAATAAAGAGGACTCAATCAACTATACGCAAAAGAGACTTAAGGATGTTCAAACTCTTTGAACTACCAAGGTTAAACATTAATGTTTTGTACTCAAACATTAATGTTTATAGCCAAACTACCAAAGTTTATGGCTAAACTAGCTGAAACAGATATCATTCATTTTAAAAGATCGGTCGAACGTTTCTTAGCAGGTTGATAAACCAAATATGCGTCACCGTTTTATTGGTAATGTTTTGTGTTAAAGGCTAAAGTTATTGAGTAATTTTCATTTTTTACACTTCCTGTAAGATGGTAGCTTACCAGTTGGTACGTTTGAAATGTAAAATAAGGATATCCGATCCTCGGTTATGAACGGTAACTCCTAAATCTTTTATTTAATTTCAAAATTCTCAAAATGAAGCTTGAAATTGAAATATTTTCTTGCAACAATTTTTTTTATGCATCTCAATATGATTCAAAGCTGTTTGAAGCCTCAGAAATGACGTTATAAAAAGTTGATATTTGTACCCCACAAAAGTACAAAAATAAATTCATTTTTAGAGATCAATTTCCTTTAATCTAGCATTAGATCCGAATGTTTTTTGGGTTTTTTTTTTTTAGCAAGATATGAAATTAGAAGTGATCTGGGATGTCTTGCAATAACAACATTAATTTTTTACACTATGCATTTTATAACAATTGAAGTAAACAGAAGAACTAAAATACTGTACATAAGTGTGCAAAACATGCAATTTTCTCCAAATGCCTGGATACCTATAATTTTGAATCCAAAAATATATTTGTTGATAAGTTTTCATTTAGAAAATCCATAGCTGATGCTTTTATTCGCATTTACTGAAAATATATTTGAGATTTGATAATTTTCCCTATATAACATGATTAACTTTACTTATGAACTTTGAAGAAATACCATGGGTAAATACACGTTATTTTGTGAAATCCGAGACATTTTTGTGAGTATTTTCAAATACTGAAAAGCTGATTTTCTAAACCTGCGGATCGGACTACCTTAAAATCCTTGCATCTTAAAAAGAACAAGCAGCTTTACCTGCAAATAACAAAAAAGTAACTCGTGAAGTCTTTCAAAAAGCTTTTTTTTTTTCTTTAAATAGTTTCATTCAATTACAAATGAAATGACAATGATACGAGGTAACCGCCGTTCCAATAAGGCGGGAAAACAATGAATAACAAGTAACAACAATGAAAAACTGCATCTTCCCTATTCATGTCTAAAATAATTATATGGATACATTCTGAACCGGATCTGAATGCCTTAATATACATTAAGAAACCTGTTTTAAAAATAGCTTAGGATTTTTTTTTAATTATACATCTGGAAGGGGAGGGGGGGGGGGGGTTGTCAGTGTCAAGAATACCGGTATTTCAAACATGAATAAGGAAAATGCAGTAGAGTTTCTAGCTATCTCCATTATACGAAATCATCACAGCACTTACACTAAGCATTAAATATCACCGAAAGAATCAGACATAACAAGCATTCAACTTTCTATAGTACTCAATTCAGAGGCTCAATTTACAGAATCTATGATTTAAATGTTGCCAAATTCACAACCATTAATATTACCTTTCCCAAATATCTAGCTGCCTATCAAAAGTTATTCATACACTTTTAAAATCTAAAATTGAAAAAAAAAATGCATACAGTGTTTCAAGGATTTTATCAAAGGCGTTTACCTCAGGGAAAAAAACTGTTTGTTTTTTTTTTGTTTTTTGTTTTGACATAAAAGAAATATACCCCCAATTTTCTGGGTTTTTTTTCTATCGTAATAAATTTAGGCATTTTAAAGACCTTTCCCAAAATACATCTAATGTATATAAAAAAAAAATAAAGTAAGAAAATCGTAGCCTCAAAATAAGCTTATATGCCTTTAAAAAGATCTTTATTTGTGGGAAAATAAAGACATAATCAATGAAAACGTCTATTTCCAGCTTTTTTTTTGACTGTACAATTGTTGACTGTCTTCACGAGTCAAAGTTGTGCAAATTACAGAAATGGAATGTTATACCTCTGATGTACGTATAAGGAGAAGCCATGTTTAATGTAGTAATGAAAATGGGGGGATGATTACTGAATGTTTGCGTAGAAAAAATTGTTTATCCTCCTATGAAAATATCACAGAAATGATATATCAAATTGTCAAAACATCGTTATGCTAAAAAACATGAATTTGTCATTTAAAAAAAAAATGTACATATGACCTTTTTCACGATTCTAAAACATTTGTAATATATATAATATATAAATATGTTTAAAATGTTAACAATTCTATTATAACAAAGAATGCAATTTTGAAGGATCTTGTTCAATAAAAGTTTGATCCATGTTATTCACAACACAATTCCCCAGAACCACTACCACCTAAAAAATCAAAGTACAATAAGGACTGTGACACTTTATGGCATTGAATATACTTTCTGTTGTACTTTTTAAAACATACTTTGTATTTTAATGATTTTTGGTTTTTTGATTTCTTATACGAGTATAAAACTGTTGCACACACATACTACACATCAACAATTGACTAGAGGTCCAATTAGCACACACCTACCGGTATACATGAAAATCTTTGGAAACACTTCTAGAAATCTTTGGAAACACTTCTAGTAATAGTCTATCAAATATCTATTCTATAACATTTAATAACATTTAGAAATGGGATTCCTAAAATTCGTTATTAATTTCAGGTGTTTTTTTGAAATAGATCTTCACGGAATAGTAATATTCAAATTTCAAGATTTTTTAAATGCATATTTTAAAACTATTTTTGAAATTTGTCTAAGGGAAAGCTTCAATATTATATGCTTCACTGCATCTGGATGTTATGATTTGTGATGTTCGTTGTTAATATAAAGGCCCTTGTTAAACAAATGATGTACAATTACATTTTTTTGCACGGGTTGGGGAGGGGGTTATTGAGGGGATTGTAACATAAAAATACTCTGACCATCAGGTAAACATGCTGAAGCAGACCATCACTGGATGCTTCTAGAAAAAAACTTCATACCTTTGGATTCTGAATCCTAATTAAAGCTACTAATAAAATACATGTATGATACAATCTAATGTTGATAAAAATGTAAAAAATATGTTTTTTTTGTTTATCTTTCAGTAATACTTCATAACACAGTAAATCACAGCTTAGTTTTGAATAAGACATCTATTTTCTTCAGATAAGTCACCGGTGAAACCAAACTTTGCATCAGTAAAAACAGTGCAAACTTTCTAATGAAATCAAAAATGAAACAATAACCATACAACTTGAAAATAAATTGTGGATTTTTTAAACATTATATTCTGTCTTTTTTTTCTTTGGTTCACTATACAATTTTATACATATTAAATATTTAGTGTTAGGAAAACAAGTCTTACAATTCAGTGATAATGAGGAAAGCAATCTAAAATCCACAATTTCATTTTCAAACGTATATACATTTACTATAACAGTAATTGACAGAAATCATTTTAAATCTCTATAGCAAACTTAAGTACCCAAACAAAGCATATATACAGAATAAGGATGTATGTTCCTGGAATACAAAAATAATACATGTATACCATACTACACAACTCTCATGATAAGTCTATGTTTTGTAAATTACTCAAATTCATTCTTTCATAGGAAACACACTTAAAAATTTTCCTTATTTCACTTTTCAGAGATTAAGAATTTATTGGTAGGAGGAAAGGATTAATTTAAAATTGCTCATTTCTGAGGGATGGTTTATCTATTTTCAGATACTCCAAGAAACTACAAAAACAAAGACCTTTTTCTGCCAAGAAGTCACTGAATTGAATTATTCTCAAGTTCATCAGAAATTGTTTCAATGATGCAGTTCTAATGCTCAGTAATTCCCATCCTCAAAAGAGCAAAAACTGAATAGTCATAGCTGCCATATTGGAAAATTAAATATGTCTGAAAATAAAAACTGAATTAAATTCTAAGGAATTGCTCATCCCCTCTTTTTGGTAAAAAAAAATAATTATAAATTACTGATTTCCAAATTCAAGAGAAATTTCTGGCAGTGATATTATATATTTTGCTTGAAAAATTTAAGAATAGTAAAAGTATTTTGAAAAAAAGAGTATTTAAAGAACAGATATAAAACTTTTAAAATAACATTGAACCAAAAAACCAGAAAAAAAAATGGAAAATAGCAAAATAGACTTTTAATTTTTACAGGAGAGGACAATTTCAGATTTTTCTACTTTCTTTACTTGACTTTGCATATGATCTACTGTTTTTATAAGTTTTGCTTCAGGCTCAACATTGCAATATGCATATTTTGATTTTATTTCATTTTGTTAATTTGAATTTAATTACACTGGTATCTGGTTCTATTTAATATGTAAGGCACTTTGAAAATCATCGGTCACAACTCAGAAAATTAATTAACTTTAAAATACATTCACTTCACTTGGAAATTTGAGTGAATGATTGAGAGAAAAACCAAAACATACTTGGGGAATCAAATTTCTTGTTTTGGCAATTTGAACTACTTTCTTTGATTCAAAGAATTATTTTTTATGCAGATTATTCACCCATGGATTCAATACTCCTTTCATTTATAATAAAAAATATACTTTTGCCCACTGTCTAACAAAAAATTCATATGAATGAAAATAACAGGACCTAACTTCATGAAAAAATCCTTCAATTTCCCAGTCAGCTCAAGCTAAAATGGGGGAAAAGCAGGGATAATACCTAAGAACTAGAAGGTAAATGCATTTCAAACATACACAGCTATGTTAGCACTTATAATGCAAAATCACAAAAGTCAACAAGTATCAAGTTCTGAATACAAACATCAACAAAAAATGCCATGAGCAAATATGGCTATAACAATAAAAGAAAAAAAAACAATAATTTCACAAATAAAATCTCTCTAATTCAAAAATTCCAATATATACTAAATTTGTATACTAAATTTGTAAATACACTGTTTTAGTAGTAGGAAAAAGCCTGCCTGTTCTTATTCCAAATTGTGCAGTCAACTGCCATGCATCACAATCAAGTGTAGTTTCCTCTTTGACTTACACTGTAAAATGCACTGAAAAATATTTCTTTGGGAATGCTTATAATGTTGTTTTTAAACTACTACTACCTCAATCAGTTTTTATACTCTCTCCAAAACATTTGCTTAAATTCTCCTCCATTGCATCGGGCAATTCACTTCCCTGTTTACCAGCATGTGTTGACTCCATTTCTTGGACTGCTTCCTGGTCAAAGGAATCCCTTTGAAAACTTCCTGACTCCGATTCGAAACTTTCATAGCTACTCCCTATCACATGTCTTTGTTTGCGATACAAGTGCTGAGATTCAAAGGCATGTTCTCTCCTAGAACCATGAAATCGACCACCGAGTTTTGGAACTTCTACATCTGATCCAATCTTCTCCATCCTCTCTGGAGTCCTTGCTCCTTCCTGTGAAAGGTTATACTTAGCAGGTGTTAAAGATGTACCTCCATCAGGATCCACACTCTCAATGCTTGACTGTGAAAAAGACCTAATACCCAGATCATGAGAATCTGATGTATCTGTACTTGATAATGAACTCTTTCTAACATCACTATCACTCTCAGGAACTGACAAAAATTTACGTTTATTTGTCTTTTTTGTGTGTGTCCTCATGTGCCTAGTTATCATGTCTCTCCTGCAGGCAGCATATGGACACTGGGGGCATTTATAAGGTTTCTCTCCTGTGTGTGTTCGTCTGTGTGTGTTCAGATGGTCGCTCCTAGAAAATACTTGTCCACAATCACTACATTCATAAGGCTTCAATCCTGTATGAAGTCGCATATGTCTAGTCAACATATCACTACGCGAAAATGATCTATTACAAACTTTACAGAAGTGAATTTTGTTATTATCAGGTTGTCGTATCGTTTCTGTTGGGAGATGTTTGGCCATGTGTTTTGCTAAGTTGTCATAGGCAGGGAACACCTGCCCACACATGGGACACAGGTAGGCATCACTTTCTGACTGGATCCTCCTCTCATGAGACTGTGTCTCAGGTTTGGCAGTGGTGTGTGTTAGTTTAGACGGAGGAAGTACAAGAGAGTGACTAGGGTACATTGCGCGAGGGGACACAGCTAGTCTGTTCAATTCAGACATGGAATTTATCAAGGATCCACGAGGAGGAAAGGCAAAGTGAGAGAAACCCGGAGACATAGGACTTGGAGACAACATTTCAGGATCGGAGAAAAAGCCACCATCAAAAGGACTTGGGAGATTAAAGTTGAAGATGTGCCCTCCTTCTGGAACTGAACACAAGGGAGATGGTTGAGGGTGAGAAGCTGATATGTGAGGGGTGTGGAGACTTGGAGAATGATGCAAAGGATGCATGTAGGGCATATATTGTTGTCTAGGTGTAACAGACTGTGGCACATCTGCTTCCATGCTTGCCTTGTTGAGGTCAGGGGAGCTGTAAGATGTGGTTGCTATAATAGGGACCTTGTGATATGTTTGCTGGGGAGTTTGCTGCTGAAGCAGGTGTGTCTTTTGTTCTTTTTTAACTGAGGCCTGTGGAGACAACTGTCTTGGAGACTGAGATCTGTGAATTTCATTCTGGTTTTTGTCCTCTAGTTTTACACTTGATATATTCTGTCGTAAATCCACAGGTTCAGAATCTGATATCTGCTGAAGATTAGACTGATGCACTAAAGGTTTAACAGAAGGATCCATGAACACATCATTGTCCTCACTGCCTTGATGGATCATTTCAAAAGATTTCCTTTCAAATGAAGAGGAAGAAGTTGAGGACTCTGACAACTTTATTTTGCTGGCTGCTGAGAGCTGTTGAGATATAGTATCCTCAGCTGGCTCTCTGAGATCCAATGGACTTTTTAAATCCAGTGATCTTTGCTGGTCAAATGACCTTTGTTGATCAAATGATCCCAACCCTGGAATGTCTGGTTTGTCCTGGGAATGATCAAGAGAAGATGTATCTGTTGAGGAGGAGGATTGACTCTTTAAATAACGAGCATGGAGATATTTCTTGAAATTTCCAGTGACTGATGATGAGTCCTTCATGGGGTGCTGCTCAGAGTATTCTCTCCGAAGTCGATGAAATCCATCTTCCTCACTGTCATCCTCTTTGAGTCCCTCCACCACACTAGTGGTGACATTGTCATCTGTGGTGATCACAATGCTGGTGGGTTGGTGGATGATCCGCCTTTTTTCTCCATCGGAGGATTCATCTACAGACTCCACTGAAATACCGGGTGAACTAATACGAATACTTTGGATAGGCACTCCGTGAAGATCCTTATTGAAAGGTGAAGGCTCCCTGCTGCTTGGGCTGTCATCTGACCCACTAACATAGGAATGATGACTATGTGAAGTAGTACTGTCATCACTCCTCTGTAGTCTAGGAGCATACCTAAACAGCTCTCTACTTCTCCCACGGGGTGATGCACCCCTGTACAAGTTAATATCTTCACTAGAATGAGTAGTGTCAGAAGAAAGATTTTTAGTCAATAAGTTTGAAGAATCTCTTCCTGAATTTGAAAAAGGAAATGGAAATCCTGAAGATGAGATCACTGTTTCACGAATCTGCACCGAGTCTTTCTCTTCAATCACAAGATTTGGAGCACTAGCATTGTACACCATTTTAGACATTTGCCTACTCTGTTGAAATCGAGAAGAAAATGTTTCCACATTGTACCTCTCCATAACTTTTCTCCTTTCATCCTGCTCCACATCTGGACGAAAATCAGAAGAAAAAAGAAAGTTCTTCTCTGAGTTATCAAAACTATAATGTACATCCCTAGACACACGGCCTCCTGGATCGCTATGCTGTTTTGGTAGCTCTCCATGTTCTAAGCCCAGAAACTGCTTAAAGGGTCTCTCAGATATTTTAGGTTGATCCTTAAGGTGACTGAGGACAGATCTCCCTTGGTTACTGTCCTCATCCACTGCTGACTGCTTCACCAGGATCCTTTTGTGGTCCTCACCCGAGTTGTGCCCCTTGTTACCCATCATGGCGGACTGAGTGGTCACTATGTCAAAGGAAACCTTGTCCTCGGAATCCTCTTCATCATTGCTGGGACTTCTCATCACTATTGCACATTGTTGGACTGAAAAAAACAATGTTTGAGATGTCAATTCAAATCTGCCATTGACTTTTCATTCACAAAAATGAATAACTCCTACATCATTCAAGGTGAAAAGCACAATCAAAACTACTTCCAATAAAAAAAATAATTAAAGCAATTACGTAGGGCTAATTCATGTATAAATCTGACTTACAATCCTTAAACAAATTTGTGATCACCTCAACCAAAACAATATCTACCTTCTGTGGAGGAGAACAAAGAGATAATTCAATTTATTCAATTAGAGTTATTTTGGTTATGGCTGTTTGCATGCATAAATAATAGAGAAAAAAAAATTCTTAAGGTATTTGATTTGTGGTCAATTTTTATGCAGCTCTCCCAATTGTGGTAAGTTCTAAAACATCAATGGGGAATAAGTTTTTGTATCAAAGATATGTGGCACTCTCTGTTGTCAAATATTGATATTAAGGTCGACTGATAGGTCAAAAATAAAAAAAAATGTAATATTTGCCTGTTGAACTGCGTGTGTGAAAAGATGGTGTTAGCAAGTACGACTCTAATTATGCTAAAATTGGCTTTGCCTTTCAACCACTGTGACATGAAAATGATAATGATTCCCAGTGTTTCTTTCTAGCAAAATTTTGGGGTTTTTCTAAAAGATGTAGGTGAGAACTCGTGGCTACAATAACATCCACCCATGTTTCTGAAAAACTTGTGTACGCCCTTGTGTTTTTCAATTTGAATAATTAATTTTGCATATCTCTGCATGTCTCCAGAATTAAAAACAAAAAAAACGAACATGCCTTCTTTGTATTAAGTATGTTAAATATATGCTGTTCTGCTTGTTAATTCAATAGTTTTAATTTAATTAAGTCAGTGCATTTAAATCATAACATTATAAATTGCAAAAACAGTGAAATCATTAATTGTTATTTTAAAAAAAAAATCTTCTGTGGATGCCTATTTATCTGCATAAATTAACCTACTTTAAAGATATAATCACCTAATTTAAGAAAAACCACAGAAGAAAAAAAATATAATATAAAATTTATGAATTAAATCTAACTTCTCAAATTTGAATTTTTGTAGCTTTATCATTCTACTGAATTGGGGAGAAAAAAATCTAATAAATATGTCTTGTCAGTGTCAGTATATTTAATGTTTCCATAGACTAATTATGACCATATATGTTAATTAAATATGTAAAATATGACTGTCTTTTCCATGCTTCATATGAAGCCGCATTGGGTGGCCTTTCCCACACGTCCAATTTATTATAATAACTTGGATTTATATCGCACTATTTCCTTTATATCATAAACTGCATTCAACAAAGTCATATATACAGAATCTGAGTGCAAGCATTTTCTATTTATCTGGTAAATATAAAGTCTGTAGGTCCAAAGGCACCTACATGTAGTTATCATATAAAAAAAAATTGTTGAGGGAAAGACAGAAAGACACATGGACAATGTGATTACTATAGGGCACTTCGATTTAATGCATGTGTAATAATTATTAATAACATAAGGTAAAAGTATTTTATTTCTTTTTTTCCCCCTGTGTTAAAATGGAAGATTTTGGGATGCTTAATAATACAAGGAACATGTTAATATAAGAAACATTTTTCACAAGCTTTTTTAGACAAAAGTAAAAAAAAAAAAAGAATAGAAACTCAGTGATTTTTAAACTAATAAATGATTTTTTTTCACATTCTCTAAGAAATAAAAATCTTCTCAGCCATAGAAAAATACTGAATAATCTTAATAAGATGGACAATCCTTTTTTTTTTTTTTTTGCTCATTTCCTTTCCAAATAGCTATAATATATAATTAAATTATAATTAAGCCAAGTGGAAGATTATATTCAATGATAGTACCACTTAATATATATTATATACATAATTATACATGTAAATATGCTATATATGTGTGTGTTTACTGTTTGATTGTAAACATTCTAGTTAAATTTAGATTTAACATGACACATAAAAAAAATAATTCATGCAAAATTTAGCATATATATTATATAAAAGTTTATACAGGTATAGTATTCCAGGGTTTATGAAATTTGATCTAATTTCAAGCATATAATTTCTTATTTCTAAATTTCACATGAGAATGACATATTAATTTACCTGTTTTGACATTATTTGTTAATAAAAGTGACTTGATACTTAGTAAGGTGTGACAACACTTTGAAAGTGGAGCATGAAATAGGAACAAAATATTATTGATTGAATATTGGAAAAAGAAGCTTTGTTACTGAATGAAAAATACACCTATTTACATGTGATGGACAGATTGAACTTCAATACTCAAGCACTTGATCTAACAGTCAATGGCTTCACAACAAGGCATTGCCTTCTGTCATATGAATTCATATTGGTCTCAATAATTCCTAAAATCTAGTGGCATGTTTTTTCTATTTAAAAAACAAAAACAAGCAAACAAAACTTGAGTACACATTATGTCTTGAATTTGAATTATACCCTTATACATTTTGAATGTTTACCTATGTGGAAGTGATCACTGATTTAAAAGTATTGAGTTATGCAAAAAAAAAAATTCATTACCAAGGTAACAATTCAAATGGTAATAATCTAGCAAGTTTTCTTGATGAAATACGATATCGTTTGTCCTTCTCACCTATACACTTCCATAACAACTTTAAAGGCTTTTATATATGATTTGAATATTTTAGCAACCTTTCCTGCCGTGTACTATGATCCATAGTACTGTTGACAGGAAATAAATGTTAATTTATAATTTTGAATATTTATATACTCTTCAGTTACAACTTTTTCTTGCAAAGATTGAAATTCTTCAAATGAAGTAGAGCTACGTTAACATGCATGATCTTTGAGCATGATAAAGATGCACCTCTATTAAATATGATAATAATTACAAATGATTTACCTCTTTATACCAAAACTCATTTTACTGCACGTGATATTGCATATTTTCATATGTCCAACTAATAAAACATTTTTTAAAAATGACAATTTATAGAAAATATGTTAAAATCTATTTTGACAAAATATTACTATTGTGAAGAGGAAGTGGTGTAGGAATTTAAAGGAGTGGAGTGGTGTAAACATATATGGGCACTTATTTACTTTCAGGGGTATGTCTCAATTGGCTTAGTTTATCCCTAATAGCTGCGTATCCAAAGATGAAAGAATTAATTGTCCACATTTCATCCTTGGTCATGAACACTTGATACTAAAACATTCTAAATGCAGTCATCCCTTGTTGATAATTAAGACCAAAAAGGACATTTTTTTTCAGCATTTTGTATTAACGAGTTACATATTGCCAGTAATGATTAAGTGTAGACTTACCTGTCAAATCATGCTAGGTAAAAGAAAAGTTGAAACTTCTCCTAGGGAGGAAATGGATAGACCTTCATCTGAAAAACATGTAAATCTATCCTCATAAAAGTCCATTCCAAAATATTTTTGAATCCATGTTCCTTTTATATATAAGTGAAAAAATTAAGACTAAAATATACACATGTTGACAGAGATAAACATTATTCATATAGCATGCACACACAATATATATATATATATATATATATATATATATATATATATATATATATATATATATATATATATATATATACTTAAACATATTTACTTCACAATGATAATAATGCTAATGAGATAAATTGCAAAGAAAATAAACACAGAAGTTTATTAATTTACACCTAACATGAACCCACATAAACACTGCACAGGCTATAATTATTTCATCTTTTACAGCTTGCCCGAATTCAGAGTTGCGTGGTTAAACTTTTAGATACATAATATGCTGTTTATCAAGAATGAAGTCTACACCTGGTTCAAATCCTGTTAGGTTTAGCATGCACCCTGCTAATGAAATTCAGTTGCAAGAAATGAAATCTCCAGTACAGATTACTTGTCAGCTATTTTTTTCAAAAGTCTCAAATCAACAACTTATAGACAATGAATTAAAAATGAAATGTGAAGATAGCAATCAGTAAGCATTCTCAAAAGTCCATTTAAACAATACAAATTATGAGAAGAGCCAACAGACCTCTGAAAACAGAGGTGGGATCAGGTGCCATGGAGGAGTAAGCATCCCCTGTCGACTAGTCACACCTGCAGTGTGCTCCTTGTCATGAACAGTTAAACAGAAAAATCTGCAGAAAATTCAGTGTGAATAATGGCCTAACAATTTGTATGAAAGATTAACAATCAGTATTCGACATAAGAAAAGATTGTATTTGCAAACAAGGTCATTTTATTTTGAAATGTTGACTTTAAACATCCTTGTATCATCAACTTATTTCTCAATACCCTGCCTTGTTTTAGAAATTGTTTGTATGTAGAACATGTTCTTGCACATTGAATCAACTGGGAGACATATAAACTCCCTATGCAGGTGATAATGGTATATTTCTACAAAAATAAAGAAATTAAATTGATGATTAGAAAAGTTGAAGTCTTCATGTTCTTCATAAAGTTTTGTTGTCAGTTTGTCATCAATGTCTTTCTCTAGTGAAATATCCAAATATGAAACAGATGTGTCAAGACAACAATGTGGGTCTGTATTTTCAAAATGATAAAGGGAGAAACAAGAGTGATAGGTGTCTTTGACCAAAAATGTTTACATAATAACACAATTAAAGGCTGCAAAACTAAATACAAGCATATTTGAATCAATATCAAACTTTAAAAATCCAATTTAATATGTCATAGACAGAAATAAACTGATTTCTAATGGATTGATACACCTTTTACATGGTTCTGAAATACAGAAAATTAAGGCTTCAATTTTTTGGGTTTAAAGATCTTTTGTCAAAGTGCAAATTCCAATTTAGCAAAAACTTGAATAGAGATTTGAAGTAGTCAGTACGTACAGCACTGATTGTGGCTTTTGAAAAAAAAAGGCATTTTTTCCCCTTAAATATGCTACCATTACATATATTCAATAAATTGAACAAGCACTTAAAGAGTACTCGCAAAGAAACGTATGTGTCTACTAGTGCAACAAACTTTTACCAATATTGTTCATTTAATAGAGGATGACACTATAAAAACTAAGTAAATATGTTCAGCTTAAAAGAATTGTGTGAAACTGAACTTGTCTTAGTCAATCTCAGTTAATGGCACTTAAATTGGATTCATGGATTGGCATATATAATTATATTTTGTTTTCTTTTGGTTGTAAAAGATGCAATATCAAAAGAAAGAATTGGAGATAATGATTGGGATTTCCATTATTTACCCAGACTTAATCTGCAACCTACTTTTCAAAGAGTATACTAATTATTTATCATTTTTCTCCAAGTTTTATTAAATAAAAATACTTCTTGGCATTAAATACATTTCAATTATTTAATCAATGGGTAAGGTTAATGAGTCTGTCAACATAGATTAAAATTCCATGGATTTTAAATTTTACACATATCATTCTGCAATTTACAGTATATTAAATCTATCCAAAAATTTCTAGAAGTTGAACCCCAAAAATGTCCAGAAAAAAATCAGAGATGATCAGACAGATAGAGGTTAACTCTATAACCCCCTCCCCACCCCACCCCCTTCCCCATCCATTCCTCCTTGATATCACTTGTTAGGAGCTTATAAGAAATGCCTTCCATGGGGTTAAAATATGTGCCTTAAAATTCAAGCTACAAGATATTTTTGTGTCAACATTTCAAGACATTAAGCATTTGTTTAGAGGACACTGGAAATTAGTCATGCTCTCAAAATAACCAAAATCTTGTCTAGCAAGGTCCCACACAACACTTAAGATGTCTTCACTGAGTAAATTTTAATTTTGTTTCTCTGAATACAGCAATGTAAAATGAGACTTGATATCCCAAGATCAAACACATTTCTTTCATTCAAATATGGTGTTGACAGATAGTGAAAAAAAAAAAAATTGAAAAAAACTTTTTGAATTGCACTTGTGTGTACGATTGTGCAATACAGTGTTTATATAACTTGTGTCTCAAGTAGTACAGTGTTTGCCTCTCCTACTCCCCTAAAACTCAAAGCAGGAAGTGAGAGGTACAAATCATGCACACAGAAGCATATCTAGGACCTGTCCAACAGATTCACTGGAATGTGTGTGACAATAAAGCACTCTCCATATGATGTGCGTATCATATAAAATAACATGACTCATAGTAAGAAGCGTGTGATTTTCCCAAAGGACAAGAAAAATTATGACACAGATTGTAGTGTGAAACAAATAAAAATTTGTTTTTTTTTTTACTTTTAAATGACCTAGCTGTGACCCCCAAAAAGAAATATCTTTACGTAATCCCTGTTTGGTTTGGCTGTGTGATTTTAGTAGGAAAGGTCGACAAAACTTTGGTGTGTAGGCTTACGAAAATGAAACTTAAGACCAAAAAGAAATGAAGATACATACACACAAGCTTTGCTAGAAATAAAGTGAGAGAATATACCAGTAATGACTATGATAATATTTCAACCAGTTCTTTAGTAGGAGAGTATAAAATTACCATGTTAATCACTAAACTTGAAGCCAATGACTATGTATAGCCAGGTTGAAATGCTACTAGAAGTCATAAACCTTTTTGACTGTCAAGAAGGCTTGCTCATCCAACAATTTTTACAACAATTGCAAAATTTAAAAAGGTTAAAACAGATATTATATTATTGTCAAAACTAGTTAATGTGTAATTAATATTTTACAGATATAACTTTATCATGGAGAATATTCATAAAATCATTTTTAGGATAAATAAGTCAATAAGGAGAAGTTCAAAAAGGTTGAATGGAAAATTGTAACAATGTAATAAAAGATAAATTTGAGACTTATTCCTGAGAGCTTAACAGATACAGTCAAACCTCATTATCTCAAAGTCAAAAGGAACCGAGAAATAAAACTTCAAGATATCTGAATGTTTGAGATATTGAGGGTAAAATACAGTAAGAAAATAGCAGTTAATTGGGACATTCAAATTAATTTGACATATCCATGGTATTCAAGATATCAGAGTCCAACTAATACATAAAAATAAAAATAACTGCATTCCCTGAAGCTTAAAGAAGTCGCATGTAAAAATTTGTCTTGTGGCAGCTATTATTTGGACTTCTAAATTTTTTTTCAAAATAAGTATTACTTAAATTAAAACTATAAAGACTTTAAATTTAACAATGAACCTTCAGGATGGTTAAACCTTTACAAATAACAGCATGAACTTTTTCTATGCTCATAGATCTGTGTTAAATCTGAATACATGGAGAGAGAGAAAATAAAAAGCCATTGAAATTTCACGATGTTCAAATATTGCAAATCGATTTTGTTTTTTTTTTTTATACAAAGGTGAGTCAGAACTTAGTAGACTTCCTTTACAATAGGACCTCCTACACCTGTAAGAGATAACATCACAGTAGACAGATTGCCAGAGAGTAATTCATACAGCAAATAAATAACAGAACGAGGACACACTCGCAGCCCTAAATCTGTCAACAAGTTCCGTAGAACACAAATCTACTTCACATATTCCCGATTAAACATGACAATGATTTTTATACACAACAAATCGTGAATTAATTTTTAAATAGTCAGTAAACATAGTGAAAAAAAGATATACATAAAAAAATTTTTTGATTGAAAGGAAGGTATAAATAGAGACATATTTTGTCTTACCCTAAAGCACAGACCAAACAGAAAGCCATGCATGACTAGTACGTAAGAAAAACATTTTATGAATGAAAGTCAAGTTTATTATCACAAGGAAATGTGTACACCCACATCTACTGCAGGTAAAGCAAGAAAAAAAAATTCCCGGTCATATATATATACCTTTTCAGGTATGTATACTCCCACCTGGGGAATTTAATGATTGTCACACACAGACTAGATTGTACAACAGGTAGTTATTTTTAATATTCTCTCTTTGTTGATTTGATAATTTTAGGGTAAATATACATGGATCATTCTTATATTTATCAATGAAGGACCACAACAGCAGTCAACGTGATGGTCCAATTATCACATCCAAACAGAAAAGGCACAAACCTATCATGATTCACCGCACAATAACATTTATGTCTTGTCCAAAAATAATTCCACTTATACTAGAAACGGGAGAGACAAATAACTGAGATCATGAAAGAGAAACCGATAAGGGAAGGATTTAATTCTCTGTGCATAAAGGTTAATTGGCATCAACAATACTGCAGAACCCTTTTAAGTCTACCTCTAAGACAGTGCATTGACATTTGTTGTCACATCTGAGTGACATCTAACTTAATATCATATTGTTTTGTTCAATAATTTTTATACCGAGTAAGCACACTTAAACTTATTCGAATATTGTTTGCAGCAAAGTTCATAAGAGTGTTGACCAGTTGATGGTGACTCAACATCATTCCAAATATATATCATAGTGTTATTATG